CTTCCCGGCCGATGCGCCGTCGCGAGGAATTACGTTCGAGTTCGTCATTTGACAAAAAATAATATCCGAGATCGATCCGATAGTCTAGTCGATGATCATTGGTCGTCGTTACGCCGTTTACGTATGCAGCGAAAATTGTTTCGAAGTTCGTTACCCGCGTGCATGTCGCAAAAGCGAAAATTTCATTTGGCACGCGACGAGGGAGTAAGTTACGTTTATAATGTATTTACGTGAAAGACAACAATTTGATTACTCTCGTTTGATCGTCGGACAAAAGGTATCAAATATCGATGAACGCGCTCGGTTTTCCATTTTCTGTTTCGTTATCATATCACGCACGCAGAGGTACAATAAGTTATTCAGCGCGCGGGTTTATCGCATTATATTATACGCACGATAAATGAATGAACTGTAATTTATTAAAAAAACATGATACCCAAACGGGCAGCGAGATCCGCGTTTGTAAATAATATTTACTGCGATACGTAATGCAGTGAAAGCAAATAAAACGACGGGGCGTATCTCGTGTCGCATCAGCATTCAACAAACCGCGTGTCGATATCTGCATATCGACGTACCTTCGGGATCGTCTTTACGCCGATCGTGCCGATTTATGTGCAAGCTCGACCGTCATAAAAATTAAACCGGCCCTTTCATCGAGCCCACGAATTATTCATAACCCACTGGACGAAGCTATTTCTACAAATGAAATATTCAAGTAGCTTTAGAGAATCCCGGGAAAAATCCACTGACCAAGAGGACCGGTCGTATCTCATTGGGTTATCGAGGAACCACTGGTATCCTTCGGTTTGTTCGGCTGCGGTTGTTGAAAAATAAACTTAAAAATTGCATTGTTTGCAGGGAAAAGAGAAAAGCGAAGCTTCCGGCTTCCGCGGCCGGATGAAGCATCGAGTGCGGTCCGGGTGATTGCGTGCGGTGCACCGAATCCATCATCCGTTGTCCATGAGGGAGAAAAACCGTGAACAGCAGAGGGTGAAGGCAGGATGCGTAGCGCGGGGCTCTGACCGAGGGTTGGGAAAAGGTCTGGGAGAAGGAACAGATCTCGCGAGTAATCACAGTACTCGAGATCGGAGCGGGGACGAGATCAAGGTTTATCAGGGCTGGCGCATTTCGACGAGAGACGGCGTCGATGAGCCGGGAACGATCGCTGCTATTCCATTTTCCATACGAGTGGATCCCGCTTGCCTAATCGATAGTTACAGCGCGGACACGCCCGACGCGATAACTCGGTCAGCGGACGGAGAACGGGGCTCGAGGCTGGAGCGGTAGGCGCGCGAGCAGATGCAAAATCATTTCGCGACGTTATCGACGGTCGGCCACCCACGATACCGGTTATCAGTGCCGTTTCGCGGGTTCAAATGGGACGCAGCCGAAAGCAAGAGGGAAATCGGCCGATCGACTGACTATCGCTGACGGAACTCCTCCCATCCCTGTTATCGCGCGACTTTAACCCTCTTCGAAAGCGTCGAAAACGGTTTTGGGTACTCGTTGATAAAACTGATAGTCGTGCAGGAGATCGGCAATCTCAGGAAATGTTACTTGGATAAGCCAGTAACGATAGGAGGATTCGTCGTACCAGTTGTAGGTACGAGACCCGCGGGTCTCGCACGGTTTTACGGTTCGTTCCGAACCGTTACGCTTCGAACGAAGAGAGCCCCGCGGAATTTATTAGCCAGTCGAGTAGCCACACGGCAAATTATTAATGACAACAAGCTATTGACAGATATCGTCATTAATTCAACCCTCTTGTACACACAGCGAGTGTCGGAGAAATGAAATTTCTTTCTCTTTAGTTGAGAGCTTTCAGAAAATGATTTTTCTTAATAATGTACTTTCCATGTCATTTATATAGAACTAGTATTGCAGAATCGGAAATTTAAAGAATAGAAATATTTCTTGAATAAAGAATTTGAAAAATATTGAAGATTTTTTAAATATATATTTTATACCCTTTCCATCTCCTTAGTGCGTGATTGAACAAAAATCCTGAAATCCATTTTTTAGGTATTGGTATAAATAACTCTTGTGAATGAAAACCAAATCTGTAGCTCATAAAACTTGAAGACTATTAAGATGTACATAAAGACAAATTGAACAAAGCGTTCAGCGAACAAGCGTTTTTGAGATTTTTGCTAATATACAAATGGATGCTTTAATAAAATTAAATTGTACATGTAAACGTAAATACGGTGCCGATACCTATTTAAACTAACGCAATCAGCAGGGAAGTAACGTGACCTACTCAATATAATCGGCTATTCGAATATAAATGGTAAAAGAGTTTGTATATACATACATTTGCATGGCGAGCCGAAAAATGTGATAAACCAACGGATGCGGCAGCGGCAGCGAAATTTATTGAGCTAATTCTCGCTATATAGCCGTTTCATTAATTTAAAGCGCGGAGAAATCAATATGGCCACGATTAAGCTCAGTCAATTAATTCCTCGTTTCCAGCATGAGTTTTCAATTGATTTTTACTCGAGGAATATTTGTTCGAAACAGGTTCGTTCTATAAAAAACGTTGCTGCCGACGAAAATAAAACTGTTTTGTGTTTACAGTCGCCGACAGTAATTGAACAACAGATTAATGAGTACGAATAATTGAGTCGTTGTAATAAACAAAATTGAACAGCTTTTAAATAGTAATAAAGCAAGGAAATAAGTGGGCCGGGTTTGTAACGAGAATTGAAAGCGAATTAAGCTTCGCGCGATCCGATTGTATAACCGGTAGATTGAATTTGCTGAAGTTATTGTAACCAGCTCTGTGTTTAACACTTGCCGACATATATTTGCATATTTACGGTGTTCGCAAATTGTGCTATGCACTCGACATAACGAATAACAAAATTATGCACACGGCTTTCTCAAATCCAATAATACTTTGAAACGAATTACCAACTACGAGTTCTGATTATTCGAACTCACTACGCCGAAATTATAGCACCCACTATTCGTGATATATTATTTAAAATCCGAATAACGCGCACCACTTAATCGTGTTCTTTCCGTGTCAATTAGTGTTTTAATTATTGGGACAGTGCTCGAGGAATTAAACGAAATTCTCTGAGCGGAAATCGAACGAGGTAAATATATCTTTCTCATATTGATAAAATTTGACCAGGAAATTGATTCTACGTTGTCGACAAACTCAGTCCGACCGTTTGGGAAATAACGCGGTGGGCCCGCCCGGAACTGCCCCCCGCAGAAAGCAGGAAGAATTATTGTCAATTCGCATAATGAACGCAAATTGATCGTTGCTTCCCGTTAATAGAAAATATCTCGAGAATTGGTTAACGCACGCCTACGCGGCGCGGCCTTTATTTACGATCAGGCATCGACTGATAATCGTTTAAACGGCGATTAAACGAAAAGCTCGTAGTGGCTTCGGGAACGAATAAATTGGACGAGAGCTGCGCGGCGCGACGCGAGGGCGCCCGTGCGGACGCGTTCGTTCGCGGCCGAATTACACGCTCGTTCGTCGAATAATCGATGTTTCTAGTTGTCCGTGACACCGTTAAAACGACACGTTCTGCTGATGCCCTGACGGTGAAATAATTGGCGCGCGAAAACGTTCCCCGCGTATGAATTTATGAACAGCCCCGCTGCCGGCGGGAGCAATGGCGCGGCGCCCTGCCCTCACAATGCCGCGCGGTTTATTCTTGCGCGTACGCGTGCTCCTATTCACGCGGCCAATTAAAATTATATCGCCGTAACAAGTCACATGTAATTGTCCGGGGAAATGAGATCGCGGGCCGCACCTCCCAGGTGACGCCGGCGGTAATGAAAGAAAATTTATTGAGATGAACGAGCTGGGATGTTCGCCGGACAATTTCGCGCGCAATGTGCACCGCCGGACGTTCTCCACACCGACGTCGCGTTAAAAAACCGCTCGGGTGTGATACAATCGAGAAATTGTGTCCCAAGGCGGTTATTAGAAAAATGTTATTGAAAAGAACGATTTATCTTGTCCGGGGAGGTATGTGTAATGTATACGATTTAACTGATAGGAATAACGCGCGTGTTTCGTTCCATGCACAATTATCCCCGGATATACGGCCACCGATCAGGATCGGGTTTAATCATATATTCGGAGGTATGGATATCATAGAATCGCTCAACGTTTATACAAAAATGGGAGAAAATAAACAATTTCGACTCTGCGAACGCAATGATAATTGAGAGAGGAGAATAAACGTAGATAAGATTCCATGCTAATAAAAGATGTGCTATTACCTACAAATTAGATTCTAGCCAATTTTCTTGTAATTCCAATATTTTCTAAATGATTGTCGTGAGTTTATTGTTTAATTATTGATCCCAGCGAAGAATGTTTGTAACAAAAATTGTAGATTTTGCTATTATTAACTTCAAAGAAGATCCTATAAAATTTTCTTGTAACTTCAATATTTTCTGAGTAATCGCATGAAACTGATTCCTCAGTACAGAGAATAAGTTTCGAGACTCGCGTTGAATTAGCATTTCCTAGAATTAGAAAGTCGCTGCTATATATGTGGAAGAAAATGTGGCCATGTGTCCGGAGACGAATGTCATTTCATTTAAGAGTCATTGTGTTTTGAACACTGCAATTGGTATAATTAGCGTGTTTCATGACGCGTAATTCATCAGCATGATTCTACAAGTGCAATTGAAACGGGCAACCGCGAGACTTAAAAATAGCCCAGAGCACTTAAAACAGAGCACTAACCAGCAGATACGCGTTGAGCTACGATACGTTCTTTACGGTTAAAACGAGCCACAAATAATACTCGATGGAGCTCGGCGCAGTAATGTATAAAACGATCCAACAATCGCAGCAAACATTTGGTTGCCGATTCGTTACGCGCGGTGCCGGGCCCGTTTATCGTGAAACGGCGCCGTTCCGCGGCTGTTCCGAGTTTCAATCGCTACCGCCTGCAGCTTGGTGAAACATTGTTCACGGATTAATACTATTCTGTCCCTGGTATCCGTGCCGACGTACGGCCGACCATCGTGGCCGTTCGTCCCTTCGCGTAGCTACGAAACGTTTCGCGATAACTTTTCATTTCAGTTTCAATTGCGACTGCCCGCGAGGCTTGTATCCATATCGATCGGAGACCGGCGCCGCGCGGCAGCCTTCGGGCTCGTCCTACCAATGTCATCGTTACACTTTGACGCTTATGTTTGGCGTTACTGTATCGCTATGGCAACGCGATGTACCATTCATTCGACGCTGGCCGTCGTATTTGCTCTCACTCCGGTGGATGCGTTCGTTCACGGGACACACGATTTCCTGCGGTGGACCGAGCTAATCGACTGGTGATCGCTCGACGACCGACAGCTCGTTGATCGGCTAATCAATTAGAAAATCGTTAGCACGTGTACAGCGGTACACGTGCGCGGGATTGTGATCGGAAGTGTCGTCGGGTTTAAAACGGAAGGAACCAGGGAAGCAGAAGTTTGTTCATTATCGACTATTATTCAAACTACATTTCGGTACAGATAGAAGTTTTTTCGATTTTAACGATTTTTTAATATTAGGAATGTGATTTTGAACAACTTTCTTCTTTACGGAAATTAGTGGTCAATAATTGTTTCTGACGTATTCGCAGAGATCTGCTATGTTGGTTCTAATCACGTGTAATGATGTGTATTTACGTTTCATAAACGATAATAGCAATTTTTGCTTATGTATGCAGAATCTGCGGTAACTGTGGTTCATTGCTACTTAAAAGCTATTTAATATCGCTTATTGCGATGACTCAATGACTCACATTCATTTATCTGTTTACTTAACTACTAGCAAATATGGACGTGGAATATTTGTCTATTTATATACATTTACCTCAAGGATTTTTGTTAAATTATCATACGGAAAAAACCGACGATCATTATATTCACCTCTTTTTTCCTCCTTCGATTCTACCTTCTTTCATTCTTCTACCGAGCGACTAAAGTTTTCTAATTTGTACTTATCACAACTCGACGCTCGTGGCGCAAGCCAGGAATTCGTATCGTAATTGATGGAAGTTCGTAATGACGCATCATTAGCGCGACGGCACGGAAGAAATATGAAAATCAAAGCGACGGAATGTAAGTCCGGTCCGCCGATTGTGTATCGCAATTTGTTTCAAGCCATCCGACGAACACTGCCCGACGTGTTTCTGCATGCAATTACATCTATACTAATTTCGCTTGATTCTACTTTCCAAATGGACGTTCCTCGTACCCTACGACGAATGCACGCTTGTAACGTTCATTTGAACACACGATTCACGGACTGATTCACTGATAAACCTGACAATTACTTCAGTTCTGTTAATATAAATTCCATAAGAGACAGCGTACGTATCGCGGATTAATGTAAATTATAGAACGTGATAAAACCTGGTAAAAGTTGTACCACGAAAATAATGAAGTCCCGCGTTATTCGAAATTCTCCCGACGATTATGCGCACCGGCTCGTCGCGAATAATTTATCTCGACGTTATGCATAATGAGTTTTCGTCTCGCAAGTGTTTGCCGGGGATGTACGTGGCTGCGTTATCATTGCAAATTTTTCATTTACGTCCATCCCGATCCATTTAAATCAGTCGCGAATTACTCGTCCGTATACATTATTATTCGTTACTTATTATAATTACGCGACGTAACATCCCGGTCGGCCCGCAGCAGCGATGCAGGATTCAGCATTACGTTATACATATACTATGTTTAATGGCAAGAGGAGAGCGACGCTTGCGTCGGAGTTAAATTTGTAGATGGATCGAAGTGATAACCGTGTAACAATTGTGTTGAAAGGGTAATTTGCGCGGCGATATTCATTCGAGGCACACGCAATCTGAGCGTCCGTACGGTTTTGAAAGGACTTGCATAAAAATTCGAGGGTTCCAATCGATAACCTTCCGATCCAGGAAATTCCGAGACGGGCAGCAGTCAGGTAAATTTGTATGCAAGCCGCGCACGGTGCACACAAGCGGATGCAAAGCCTAGTGATTCGAAAGTCTTTCTCTGTCCCGCGTCTGCTGTATAAAAATCTCGTTTGCCCAGTGACGTTACGGGAAAAGGCCGAGTGACACGACCGGAAGGCGGAGGACGCGCGCAGAAAAGCTGTAAAATGCCGATTGATTTTTACTACTCCGAGTCGAGCCCGCCTTGTTGGTTAGTTCGATTACTGGCGAAATCAATCGGCGTACACTTCAATCTAAAAGTCGTCGACCCTTCTGATATGAAACCCGAATTTCAAAAGGTTTGTTCATTTTACTGTCTGTGGTCGCACAGTGCGTTGCGTTCATGGGATATCGGGAGAGAAATCATAACTTATGAACTAATCAATTATAATAACTTAATTCGATTTTTATTTAATGATTTTTTACAAATTTTTATCAACGCAGTGTATTTCTAACAAATTCACTGTATCAACTCGATCATCGAACTACAGTAAAAGCTTGTGTACTGACCCACTGCTCACATCTTATTTGTTTCAGCTGAATCCGCAGCGAGCATTACCAGCAATAGACGATGGCGGATTCATTTTATGTGAAAGGTATTTACCCTCGCTTTTCTAAAAATTGCTTAATACAGATACGCGTTTGTAGCCGTCCAATCATGATCTACCTGGTAAGCACATACGCGAAGAACGACTCCTTGTATCCGAAGGATCCTAAGAAGAAAGGTCTGGTAGATCAAATGCTGTATTTTGACATCGGTCAGCTCTTCGAAAAAATCTCTCAATGCTACGTGGGTATTCACGTCTTTTCCATTATACCAGTATTTATGTATCGATTCGATGAGTCTGTAAAATATTTGCAATTTTTAAATTACTTTTCAAAAGGGTGTTTCGTTTACAAATGGGGTGAAGGGTGAGGCTAATGGCAACATAGTAATGTCACATATCTGGTTACTCGACGTGCACGGTGAAACACTTTTAATTAAACATCATTTTTATTAAACGATACGCAAGATGTATCTTTAATAACACGAGTGATCGACGGCTGGTGTACTGAAATCACATATCCGGATCGTACACATTCAAACTGGCATAAAATGTATTAATATTTTGATAAACATGAAAAATATAACGCGATGAGTAATATTTAAATCGGGATGCATATTTTCATGTGTAGGTTTAAATGAATCAAGAGGAGAATATGCTCTTAAAAGAATTACATCCGGCGCGTAATTAACTTTTCGTGTTAATGTCATTGAGAATAGATCGTAATGAAATATGCGTTTGGAATGAATGCTTGCGAGTGCAGAAATTGATAGAATAGAATTTAGCACTGCGTCTAATGGACACGATGGCAAAGTAATTAATTTACTAGGGCTCCGTTACAGAATTGATGTATTAATGTAATAAATAATTTAATGAGCGCTTGCACGATCCGAAGATAGAATTAATAAAAAGCACTGGCTAACTTCTTTTTTTAGAGTGAAACTTTCCATCCGGTAGATGTAAGTACCTTTAAAAAAGAAAAGCAGAATGGGCTGACATAAAATTGATAGTGCCATACACCTAAAGCTTTCATGCTTTTTATATGACAAGATGGGAAAAGATTTTTTTAGAAGGATTGACAAAAGGTTTTACGAAGTGCTTTTGGTTCAATTTTCATGAAAAATCCATTAAAAGCGTCGCAGATTTAATTATTAATTGTGTATAATAATAGTTTCCAGTTGTGTTCGAGGAATCATCTTCTGTAGGGGAACAGGATTTACGAGACGTTGAGTATTCCTGTGAAATTTTAAATAAATTCCTGGAGGATCGCGTGTTCGCTGCTGGTGACACTCTGACTATTGCAGATTTTGCAATCTATACGACAATTTGCGTACTGCAAGTAAGTATGATGTACAGTTAAGAGCAAAAACTGAATACACATTATATAAAATTGAATCACTTATTATTAAAAAAGTGTTGATTAAATTTTCATACTTTTCTTCACATCTACCAATTTTAATTTTTTTACATAATTTAGAAAGCTCGTCCACCTGATTACTAAAAAGAGATTCAGATCGTTTGCTCCGATTTTGAACAAGTTAATCCACTTTAAACAGCGTGTGTTCAGTTTTGCTCTTGACTGTACGTAACACGATTTTATATATTCGACGATAATTTTAATTTCTCTCATAATTAATTAAATCAGTTCTTCGGAATTTACATTTATTCCACGTCCCAATTTTTGTTCAACTTCAACGTGCTTATTTGCCATGGTGAAGCATGAAAACCCAGACGATTTTAGGAGGAACGATCATACATTTCATAGGACGTGTTTATTAAAAAATATATTCGATATGCAAAACGAACAAGTACTACGCGTGACAGTGAATAACGTTTACGGCCCGACATATCAAAAACGATCCCGGATGGTAGACACAAACTGAAGAAATACACAGAGACGTTCGAGTGTAACTAAAATTACTTTCGAACACCATAAATATTGATTTTATTGAGTTTTCAGTATCTATAACGGAAAAGTGACAGGCTTTATGAGGAGATACAAGTCAATTTCATTCTCGCGATAAAAATGTTTGTAATTTGTAATCCAGTAAGATTTATCTGAGAAATGAATAAAAGGTTCCTTCGTTGACGTATGATCGTGATTCCTAAAAAAAATTATCAGAATAAGTTTTCCGAAGACGTAGTTTATCCTTAATCACACAAGGTGTGCTGCTTTAACGATACATTGATCTTTGTCTTGAACTTCGTTAAGTCGCTATAGGGGAAAGCGATAGCCTTCCTGGGTTGCGTAACTTGTTAAGATTATCCCGTGATACTATTAATCTGTTAGAGAATCAGGATTGCCTGTAACCAATATTATGAAGGTGATAATAAACGTTCATAATTATACATTGTAGAGTATATTTCACTCTAAAATTATTCTGTTCGTATCAATTTTCTGAACTTTCCCAACTCTGACGATACCTATTGCGACTTTTTTATTAATTCAATAAGTACGAATAACGGTTTTATGAAAAAAAATCGATTTGCGTCGCGCAAGTGGCCCTATAAAACGATCGGTATTACAAAAGAGGAGGGAAAAATACTATCAACGTGGGTATAATATATTCTTGTTGACAGTGCTTCGACTTCGATATCAGCCGATACGATAATGCGGCGGCCTGGTACAATCGTTGCAAGCAACTTTTGGATAAATTCGGTTTCGAGGAGATACACGCCCCGGGCATGAAAATGTTTACAGATTCGTATCGGGCGAAGTTACAAGAATCCAATTAGCAACGATGCGTTTGGTGATCGAGATTAGACATGAAACTTATATTCAACAGCTGAAAATCGTTGTCGTAAAACAGTACCTGAGAATCGTTACCGTTCGAGAGTTTTACGTTGTTTGTATTTGACCGCGAAATTGATGTTTGCAATGTAAGAGCAATTTATTTATTAATCACGCTAGCGACAACACAATTGTTTATGTAATTAATATGCATTGTATTTACCGTTGTTAATGCGAAATTGTAATATTTAATAAATTGTAAATAAAATAATTGTTATTTCGAACGGATCGAGAGTGGTTTTGATACTAACACGGCAATAGCTAAAGAGAAGCTGGTTGGAATTTTACAAGTTGAGCATCTTAAGTTTATGCGGTCCCTCGGGGGTGCATAGCACGAAAACAAGCCCGTACTTTGTCACACGCCCTCGGGATTTACCTCTTCACAATGCAATAAACCGGGAATCTAACTTCAGCTCCAGATGTCCCTGTATAAGGAAAAACAGATTTTCTAGGTCATAGGCGGCGTTTCATGGCTGCCCAGTAGAATTCCATTCACTTATCAATGGCTCGCAAATATTGTTTCTGGCGCAGTTATTGTTTCATCTGGATAATTGTTCGACGAGGAACGCGACCGCCAGAACCTCATCAATAATTAATTTCACGGCGTATAATTAAATTATTTCAGACCGGTAAGTATAACGTGCGACGATGCGATAAATATTTCCCTGTTCCAAGGATTGTTTAATTAATAGGGAACTCCATGAGGGAACTTTCCGAAGTTCATTTGTATAAAGCATTCCTTGAGGCAAATAGACCGCGCAGTGTCGGCCTTGCATTTTAATGCCACGCTTCAAAACGCCGCGCAAGCTCTTAATTAGATTCATGTGGTTTTAAGTTACTTCCAATAAACTCGACTCGTGCAGTTCCATTTCGGTTTATGTAACCAATTTGCACGCATTAATAATTTATTTATCGTTTACATGCATTTCAAATAGAACGACGCTCCGCGTTGCGAACGGTGGATAATATCGAACGAAGATTATCGTTACGTAAACAGTTCAGAGTTGCAAAGAAATATAACAGACACAGTTTCCTTATCATAGTGCAATTATGCAAGTTCTACTTTCTATGAAGGAAAAATGCGAGTTCAACGACTTCCCGCTGTGGGTGCGGAATGAAAGTGAACAGCCTATGAACATTGACCTTTTAGGCATTCCAGTTTTATTTATAGACTTTAGAAATTGAAAGTGACAAAAAATACAAACCATCCACGTGATGAATAAAATTATATAGAATATAAAAAAAATACGTATTGCAGTGAATAAGTGATAAAAACATTTTTACCTCAAAAGCATTTCTCTAATTATTTTGTAATATTTCTAGTCTATAGTTATGAGCTATAAATTTTTTTTGGCTTGATTCAGTTACGAGGTGAAATTGTGAAATAGAATTATTACGATTTTCTAGCTATTTGACGAACACGTACGAAGGCGAAATGGTTTCGATTACAGAAAAAGTGAAATCGACGCCAACCCTCGCAATTTTGTAAATCAGATAATTGGTATCAGGACGCGAATTAACGAGCCTTGTAATTATGGTAGGTGCTTGTACTCAACCTGTGTTGCCAATTTACTTCGACGATAATCGTCCCTCTGGTTCGATGCTCACTTGCTAATTACCTTGAACCCTCGTTTCGCGTCGATAGAATTACTGCGTAACAATTGATAAATATTTAAAACACTATCATTTTTATTTCTGTCCAATTTCAACTTTCGCATTATACGTGAATAATGCCTGGAAAATGATGTACGTTTTAAATTAAAATAAGTTAATTAAATGGATCGCCAAATCCGATTAATACATAATACATTTTGATTAATATGCTTGATGACATTCGGTGTTCTCTTTCAGTCGATATTTAATAATATTTCTTGGAGTCTGAAGGCTGTCACATTATTTATTCTATTTGACATTATGAACGTCCATTATTATCTTCTAACTAATAATTTACTATCACTTTTAAGTGGCAATTAATTTTATTTATCGTTCATTGCAATCTAGATAAGAATCTTAATCGATATTTGTTGTACATAACAGAAATGCAATTAGGTTAATAAAATGATTCATTTTTTATTTTTTAAACATCAATTTATATCGTAGAGACTTAGTATAATAAGTTTTTTGTAATAATGTTAAATTCAGTAAATCCGTAGTCACGGAGCTATGTGGGTTCAATAAACTCATGAATAACACGGACGTACGAGATGAATAATCGCAGTGACTTCGCATTTTCGTCTTGAGTATGTAGAAACGACCACTGAATCTCCGATTTCTCAGATGAATTATTAGGGACCCATTCGTTGACTAAAGTACTGAACATTTCGCCAGTGATAATAAATAGCATACACTATTTGCCACTGAACTGTCTCAACAACGATGTTGGATTATTATTA